GCAGTATCCACGACAAATGTAAATGATAATAACCTCCTCTTTTTTAAAATCTTTGTCTTTTGAATAAGTTGAAAAGGACCGCAAACAATGTGAGATAAAAAGCTTACGTAGTTACCCCGCCTACATGTAATGTAACCTATAAGGAAACACAGCGCTGGAGGGTTGTTTGTTTACTTCAGCGAATATGTTTTGTGTAGTAAATATCGTGAAGGTCTCGGTCAATAAATAGTTGAAGAAACAACGCAGCACAACTTGAATTATCTCATAGAAAATTGTATTGCGTACACAGGCCCGGAAAACTAAACTAGATATAGTACCTACGTATAATCACGCAAGAAATTCAACCAACATACGTGTTATCAAATCTAAAAGCACTCGCGCTAGACATGGGTAGGGTAAGGATGCCACTATCAGCCTGGAAAAAATATAAATATTTTTCATTTTATATATCGTTATTTGGATCTGATATATATCAACACAAAATTTCACACAAAATTCAATATCGGAATCGTATCAAAACCGATATTTTTTCAAATTCGAATCCCACACAGACTCCAGAAATGTGAAATATTTAACACTTGACATATTATATTTTTCTTGGACAATGGGGCCTAAGGAGAAAATATCGATATATAAATATTTTCTCTTCGATATATTTCTTCCCTTTCGGCATCCCTCTTTTGACAGTGAGCCTCTGGACGGTAGGTTAAGGGGTATGTGGGTTAAGGGGTGTCGGTGTAATTGATCCATAGGAAAGTAAAAAAAGTAAAGTAACAGCCTATAATACCGGGCAAAGGCCTCCTCTGTACAGAAGGTATCAGGGCATAGTCCACCACGCGGCCCCACTGCGGATTGGCGGACTTCACATATTTTCGAAACATTATTTTTAATATTACGAAATATGCAGGTTTCCTCACGTTGTTTTCCTTCACCGCCAAGCACGTGATAATTCAACGCTTAAAATTAACAATTTCCTTGATGCTGGCACCGAGGATCGAACTCAGGTTGCTCGAGTAAATGTAATTAAAGGCGAGCGCCCGGACATTGAGCTATCACGGCTCATTCCATAGTAATATATCCATAATTAGGCCATATAGCCTTGAAGAGGAGTAGTAAGAAGGCTTTAGTCGTCAGGGCCAGCGGAATATTATATCTTCGTGTGCCCGTGTTAACGACTCATGCGAGAAGTACCAAAAAGATGTAAGTTGCATCAACTTGGACCTTTTTAGTTTGCAACAAGTTATGTTCATTATTGCCTTACAATACACAAACACCCACGGTTCCGCCAGGTAGGCGTTAGGGTAAAAATTAGGGATTTAAATATAGTAAAAAATAACTAATCACAGATAGTCGAGATTACCGATAAATTTAAATTGGGTGCATAAAATATCCTTTCCACAGGATAACCTACAGTGGGATGAATATAAATAAAACATTGCCTACCATTACAAATCATAACACTGGAGTCATCGACAACATAGCGGGATAAAGTCTCTTATTTTTACCATGTGTGCCAGGGGTGGTCAGGCAGTCGATCGCGAAACATATGTGATGCATAGCATACTTCTTTAATTTCTACATATTATAATGCAACATTATCTAGTCCCCAATCTAAGTAACAAATATTTATGAACTTTTCCACTATGCTCGGCATTAACATAGCAACAAAAGAATCCAGTGTCGGCCCGAATTTAAAAAGTAATAGCTAATGAAAATACCCTATGTCCGTCTGAACTAGTGGTATCGGAGATTTACGTCCACACATACTCACATATACTCATAGAGGTATAAAGTAGATAATGTACAAAAAGGTTTATCACATTAAAAAAAAAGGTTGGCCACCCCTGCATAATATCCCCCACTCCCTCCCCCACTAAACTAGGGCAGGGAGTTTCAGCCGTAACTATCCAGTGATCAGATACAACTCCCGGAGATTGCTTTTGTAACAATCAACAAATAAACAACAAACATTTAGTTATATCTCGTGGAGAGATAATTTTCAATTAAATAGATTGATATTAATTCGAAAAATGTTGTAATTCGGAATCATTGACAGTTTGCAAATTTTTCTACTGTTTTTTGTAAATCTAAAAGTAAAGTATCAGCCCATTCATGTCCCACTGCTAGGCAAAGGCCTCCTCTATACACAGGGTATTAGAGCATAATTCACCACAATAAAAATTAATATGTAATTTACACAAAAAAGTATCTTTAATAATCACTTAATCAGTATCCATAGTGCAAGCTTTGCTTAGTTAAGGAGTAGATGACGTTGTGTGAAAATGTCCTGATATATTAACATGTAATTTGAACAGGAAAGTGACTACTCTCATTTGTTACAATTCTGTTTAATTGTTACGGATGCTTTTTCTCGTTTTTAAATATTAAGTGATTATTTGTAAGTTAATTTGTATTTTTTAAAATTGCTTCAACTGCCGCATTATATCGGAAATCGTCAAGAACTAACCCCCATAGAACAGGCATTGCCTAGTGTGGGGGTCAGAAATAAATTTATATGTAATTTGGCTTTTTCTGAAAATGTAATTTGTTATTGTTATTAAATTCACTTTGTTGCAAGTGTCTGTTGTAGTTCTTCGTATTAATCTAAATTAATGAGTTGGCAATTACAAGTAGACTGAATTTCAATCAACGGAACACACGTCACGGCCCTCGGCAGTTAAGGCTCCTCGCAAAACACCGCGTCACAGCACACAGATAAATCCCGGGATCACGAGAGGGCAAACGAAACAAAGCGGTGAACCCTTACGCGAGCTGATCGTTAAGGGCTGAACTGACAAAGTGTTTGAGGTCGGACGCGTAGAGCACAGAGCGACAATTAGACGCGCCCTTGGCACCGAGGGTTGGCACGTGATTTTACTTAAAAAAAGTGCTGAAAAACACGTCCCCTTCGAGCTTCCGCAAACCCATTTCCGGTGGACACTGAAGCACAACCCTGAACTCTTCAGGGGTGCCCTAACTACAATGGTGTTACTTTAGATGAACAAGCGTTGGCATCTAAACTATGTTCTGTTTCCGATTTTCATTATATTTCGTTCCGAAATAGCATTAATTAATAATTTTATTATTTTTACTCAAGTTAGTAACCGAGGAAAGAAATAAACCTACTATTGGCTAAATTCGTCGCTATATTAGTAACAACAGGGTTTTAAGGCGTTTATGGGCCATCCATTGCACTTTCATATCTTTATGGTGTAAGATCTATTAGTACAGTTTGTACATTTCATAAAAGCGTAATCAATTGTCACACCTCCTATTGAGGTTCTATCAATAAAATAAATGAGGCTGTTTATGTTTGTAGCTTATGACGAAATAATTTATTAATTAAAATAGTTAATAATATTAGTAAAACAGTCAACTTAAAATTGAATAAAAATCCTTTTCAATTAAATGACATAGCGGTTAACTAAGGGAGAATAATAACGTCGTAAATAGTATGTTAAAACGGCCAATCTTAGCTTTGTTGTACACAGCGACCTAAACATTTCGCAACATATTAGGGTTGAAAGATATTATTTTTTTTTTATGATTTAATCTTTAATGAGAAACGATTAAAGCGACAGCCCTAGCCAACCGCGAACGTATAATCTCGCCCCTCGTCCAATATCGCTGCCCTTGTCAGCCCGACACGGAGAATGTCGGGACTTACCCGCAATTTCGGAGCTTTAATCCACAATTGAAAATAGAAGAAACAAAAACAGCGACAACCCTATTCACCACAGCGTGGAACCGTCACGTCCCGTGTCCAATAACGCAGCCCTGTCAGCTCAGGCGAATGGCGGGAAGACTCATTTGTTCAGACAGCTGCCTAGACGGGCGAAGGTCGCGCGTTGACAAACACCACATCACAACGGGGCGGATGGCGTACGATGTTATGATGAGGTACTTTCACTACTTCCACTCATATTGTTTACCTGTGCAGGAGGAGATTCCGCAAAAGCACAACGTTTACTTCACCTATTTGTTACGTCTCAAGCCACTCGACACTAACGGATATGACGCAAGTGTACTGACTTCCCTAACTTTACGCCCTTTACGAAATTAAGATCAAAAGGGCAGGGGAGTGACGAGTTTAAGCCTCTCTGTGCTTCCAGTTCGCGTGAAACCGTCAGGTTATCGCGTGATTTAGTAAACTCTAAAATTTCAACCGAACAACAATCTATAATCGAATCCGGATCGAAAATAAACAACCACCAGAATCAATTCGTAACGAGAATGGAAGTAATTGGAACTGTAATGAACTGAAGACTGAAAAGTTTCCTTTTGCTCGAGTAACGAAATTGCTTTTTGTTTTTTTTTTTTAACACATTGGCCTCACTTTAGGATAACATTTTACAAACATACATTTCACGTGGACACGAAACAACTATCTGTGGGTCGCACAAATAGTTGTCCCGTGTGGGAATCGAACCCACGACCCCGACGCCGAAGCCAATACCTTGGCAACTGCGCCACGGAGTCATCAAAGTTTTGGAAAGAGTTTTCATTTTAATAAAGCTTCTACACAAGTTGTACGACAATTTCACAGGTCATTCTTTTCTTAAGTGACAACCGGTTGTGCCCTGGAATGCCCTCGCATGTCCCCTGGACACTGTTCATTTTATATTTTAAAAAATTGTTTCATTTGCGCCAAATGAATTGCGAACGGCGTTAAACTGAGTCATAATTGTAACACTTACGTAAACGCATAATATGTATATACAATGAAATATATGATTTAACACACTTGCCAACAAATTATTTATAGAAGTTGACAATAACAACACTCCTTATCAAGCGAATGGCAACCAGTGTTACACCAAATAACTTTACATATTTTATCGCGTTGTTTTCATTTAAAATTTCTGACGCTTTAAATTATGAAAAAAAAAAACTGAATGGGCGTAAACAGTTTTATCTAGACTTCTATCAGTTCCTCCGGTTGCAATCGTCATAGTTTCATTTTACTTGGATTGGTTGAATTCACAATACATTTAACCAAAATGTCCGCTACCACCGAAAGTCCACAATCGGCTGAGGTAATCGCACTCATCACAAACTTGACCCAACAGCGTCGTACGAGGCTCGGAGGCATCCACTCCGACTGGGGCCTGGGGTTCGAACTGGCACTGCTTTGTACGGCGTGGCCTCGTCTGCGCCGCTTATCTCAGCGACTGCCGCTATCGCATCCTGCCGACGTATCGGCCGACCGCACCGCCACTCGCGAACGGCATTTCTCCAAATTACCTCGCCACCGCCGGTACTGTGTATGACCTTTCGCTCATTGACCCAATTACCAAGGTACCATAGGGTCTGTAAAGGTCCACAATAAACGCAGATACTACTACATATAACCACAATCCCCGTTATGGTAAATCTCGCCTCGATTTTATACTGTATACCACATATTATGATTTGGTTTAACGATATCTGATCTTAAATATACAATTTAAAAAATATATCATATTATATTTTTTTTAATTCAATGCATGAGACTGCACTCAAGATGAAACTTAAATTGTGATTTTTTTGTAGAAAAATCAATAGGGTAACGCGCAAAGAACGCTTAAAACATTTATAGTAAAAATGTTATTTGAAAGGTATATTGAAAGGTTTCATGTTGTCAAGTACGCACACTAGATGGCGTCAGGCATTGTCAAAATGAAATGAAAAAAGTAGATATTCTTGCACAAAAAGGTCATCATAGGAGAGCTAATACGGAAGATGCAGGTTCGAATCTTTGTTCCAACTTTTGAGATCATAATTATCTTGTACTGTACTAATGTTATATTACTATAATAGAAACAAAAAAGTTACATACTTAGGACAACTAAAAATACTACTTACAATAGTCGACGAAATTAAAGTCACACTATAAGGCTAACTACCATTGGCCCTAAAGCAAGAAGTTGAGGATTTTGTCACACAGTCAGAAGAGACGGAAAATTTAGAAAACTTTATAATCACTAGTGAGACAAGGAAGTCCACGTGGACAAAACGCTATGCGTTGGTAAAAATGCGGTCTCTACTAACATGCTGATGTATAGAAATGTAGACAGCACAATACACTCACTCTATGAGACTCAAAAGGGCACAAATTACGGTATGAAATCTGCAACCAGACCATGATCAAGTTGTGTGAAGATCTTCAGGAGACTACAAGGCGGGCGGACGTAGAGATGGATTATGAAGTTAAAGACGGTTCATGAACCGTTCGCCGTCCTCCGCGAAATAAAAATAAAGCGTTACGCGAGCACCGCGTGCGTCGTTTCGGCGATGCAGCGATTCCGTCGTATGGTACGGGCCACGGGTTTGCTTGGTAACGTTCCAAGGAGTGACGGCGCGCTCTGGGAGAGGGTCCGATGGAGCGGTGGAATGTCATTAGTCTGCTTCGGCACTACTGGTCTATTCACTACGTTAAATACTTTGTCATCGTTGCCAATCGAGAGCTTGCGTGTGACCACGTGAACTTGGGATACTTTTTTATCAAAGCCTTTACTTTTTTATCGTTGAGAAGACCTGCTCGTGGAATAGTTGTCATATAATCTGCTATTACTCTAAAGGGAAGCTATAGGTAGTGTATCTGAAACGCATTGAGCGTTCTAAGCGAGATTTGAGCAATAAGATCAATTCGGCGGAGGGAATGCGGAACTCTAATGAGCCGCGCCAAATTCGGACAAGGTTGCACTCGTTACTGGAATAACTGAGATCGTTGGACACAGCGCGTGTACATAGCGATTAGTGGTCGTTTGTGAATAAAACTATTTGGCAGATTCCATCACGTTCAATTTTATCCAAAAGTTCAAATACCTCCAAAGCACTCCAGTGGCTATCTATGGTCACGAGATAATCGCCGGACATGATTTTGATTAAAAATAAAAATAAACTAAAGTAACAGCCTGTATATATCCCACTAATGGACAAAGGCAAGGACATAGGCCAGCACGCGCCCCACTGCAAATTGGCTTGACTTCACATGAGATTTTTTTTTGTTATTATTTTGAAAATTTGCACGATCCCTCACGAAGTTGTACTTCACCGCAGAATAAGTTATAAGTCAAAACTTGAAATTAACAATTTCATTGTTGCCGGCACCGGCATTGTGCTCAGGCTGTTCAAGTACATTGAATTAAAAGCTAGCTAGCAGCGATTTTGGTTTAAACAATATTTTATTTTAATAGAAGTATTAAATGAAACTACTTTACGGATTTTATCGCGTTTTTTATTTTGATTTAAATTCCCTAAATTCCCGACGTTTCGTACCCTTTCCAGCGTTCATGGTCACGAGACAGAATATAATAGAAGTAGTTAATAATAAAATCCTAATTTTACATTTTAATTTTGGCTTTCACTATCGCAGGAATGGACAGTTCATCCGGGGAGAGACCGCAGCTTTACATAAGGCCGGCGAAAAGTGTCAAACTTTTGCGTTTCATCTAATAAATGATGTCACCGAAGTCCCCTTAGAGATAGACAACGCGGGTGCAATTAGCGACGGTAATGAATTAACATCAGATCGAATACTTGATCACTTGCCACCTCATATTAATAAAAATCTACAAAGAAATCAATGTTTTCCAAGCTATTAAAGCTGCTTAGTATTAGGTTATAATGGCTTTTTAGGTTCAAATGTATTTGATGATGATTCGGTGGTACAGTTGCTAATTCTTGGGTTCGATTCCCTTCCCCACATGGGACAAATATTTAATTTTGTCACCAACTTTTTCCCAACGATGGTGCATGTAAGGCAGGCGGCCGATCGTAAAAAAACCTAGCCAAAACCATTGCAAACATGATTCACACGTTGTGCCGACCCCATCTAGGGATATGGCCGGGAGAAAGGAGATAAGACCCTAATGAAGTATTAGGTTAATCAATTCTCAAGGTATTAAGTACACTTCGAAATATCGTTACATGCTAATCGGAGAATCCCCCCCCCCCCCCCCCCCCCCCCCCCACCGTCAGAAGCGCCCCACCCCGAAATCTCCGACCTGCCGCACCCCTATTTGTAACGTCACCGAAGAAATCTAATACGACCTTGGCGGCGAAGTGTTTACGTGATGCTGTCAACAAAGTGTGTTTTTCCGTACGATCGATACACTTACGTGTTCGGTGCTTTGTTGTTCTTGTCTACGTTAAGTAATAATAATACGTTTTTCGTACAAAAAGTTTCCTTCTTTACAACGGGCTAGATGGGTACCGACAGAAAAAAAAATAGAGATAATTTTGAATGAAGAAGTTAGTTTTAGTTTAAATCAAGAACCTTTCTTAACCAGGCAGAGACACAATATGGCTAATTAAAGGACTCAAGTAACGGACACCAATAATTTATACTATTCAAAGTTTTGTGTTTTGTCTTTAATGATATGGAATTAGTTAGGGAACATAATGTATGGTAGACCAAGGCTAAAAAAATATTTCACGGAAGATCAAACTGTTTTACTTTAATAAAAGTTTGAGTGATAATTTTTTTATAACTGATAAACATGCTTAAACATACTGATTTTATTAAGGCATACTTTTTATGCATAAGGCATATTTTGTAAATAAATACATATTATAAATATATAAACATCCAGACACTGTAAAAACACTACGTTCATCACATAATATTTTTCCAGTAGTCGGGATCGAAATCGCAGGGTCATTACCCATTAAGCCAATCGGTTACTACATTAAAAATAAATATTAAGTTAAACACCATTTCTTGCATTTACACGAACATTATGCCATGGTTAAATAAAACTATTCGAATGATTTGCTCGTGTTTCATTTTCTTACTACGGTAAATAATGTGCTGGTTTACGTCATAACATCACAGTTGTCCCGGCCAAGTTATCTTCGAGTTTTGCCGTGGCAATCGAACCCACGGCTACGGAGACTGCAAAAGAGTCCATTTATCACTCGACAGTGGGGGTTTGTACATAGTATCGGACCAGTATCGGACCGGCATCGACCCGCCTCCCCGGCGGCGCGTGCTACAACTTAGTAACCAAGCAATTTGTTACTGAAGAGCTCGGGGTATGGACGTGACAAGTACTCGTCCTTTAAACACAACAATATTGTTCTCTAATTGCGACTTCTTGTTTCACAGTGAGCGGCAACTAGTTAATATTAACTGGGGTTCGCGACAATCGACCTGCGTTCCAAATTTCCAAACAATTAAGGACTATAGAGCAGTTGAAGGCTTCAAAGTCGACACTTTACAATATTTATAAAAATCTATGATGGCACGACGTTAATAAAACAGATAAATATATGTATAAATATTAAAAAAATAATACACTTGTGCATGAATAGGTGTAGGTCACCTATTCATGCACCAAGTACCCGTAGTAAGTAGATAGAGCGAGTTGACAAGTAGATTTAGACAAGTTAAATTAGCCGAGCCATGGAGTTCACGGTCGTGGACTAAATTTCATTAACTGTACCAATTGAAAGCGGCACATTTTTAAATCGGATGCTTTTGACAACTACGGGGTTTTTAAGGTGGTTAGGAGACACAGGGTGCAATTAAACTTTCTATAGATGTATGTGTCATTTTTGGAAAGTATTTAAATATAATAAAGTAAATTTATGTAGAATATTACTTAACCTTTAAATGAAATTATGGTGCAACTGATGATATAGATTTATAACAATTTCTGAAGCATACATACCCTTCAATAAACAATGACAAAGGTTTAAATCTCATGTGCCTCGAAGAATACACACATAACAGGGATAACTTGAAAGCATCCCTTTGAAGGGTAACATTTCACGAATAACGAAGACTCAAAGCAAACCCTTTTGGCATTCCTAAATTATCAGAAAACATTCACTTCAAATAATTTGGGAATTGAGTAAAAAACAAACGCAATAAATTTCAAAAAATTGTGGTAAAAATCGAATTTCGTAATATTCGCGTAAATATAAGAAAATCTAACTGGCTAAACGCGGTTCTATAAAAGACGCCAAGATAAAATGAAGTGATAAGACATCAGTCATAGGTACCAGCTCAGCTAAGTGTTTTTGATTCAGAACTGGTAAATACAAAAATAATAGTTTCATATAGCGTTAAAAGAAGCTTAATATTTTTTTTTTTAATTATCACGTTCATGTCGAACAGACTTAAGAATTTTAAGAACATTGTGCGCGTTGGCCAAAAATATCGGCAGCGGAATGAGTATGAATATTCAGAATTAGAGACGGGGAGTGTGCGACGAGTGAGACGCGTGACGAACCTTTTGGCAATGTCAAGTGCATCGCGATATTCGCTAGACGCTCCACTCCCCCTGCTCTGTTTAACATATTCGATACGGTTCGTCTATTTCGTCCTTTTCATCTTCTTTAGAGATGCTTCTTCTTTAAATGGTTGTCGTCCAATATAATTGTTTCAAGTTTTTCGACTCTTCAGCCGTTGTCGCCCCGACTGGCCGCCCAACCCTAGGATTGCCGCCTTGCTTGAAGTGGTTGTGCCTTGTGAATTTACAGACTATTGTAAAAGAGTGAATGCATTTTACGCAGCGCGAATAAGAAGGCCTCTTAACCGATAGAAAGCGACAACCGCCAATGGACATTCGAGACCAGAACAAATTTAAAAGCCAACCTTTTATGTACGAATAGACTTATGCGTTTTGGTCATTCAAAGAAAATAAGAGCGTTATAGATAAGAACAGAAAGTTTCAAATTCTAAAAATTTATGCAACATTTAACAGAATCCTCCCTCTTGAGTGGCGAAATGTCATACGAAACGGAAAATGGAAAGTTATTAATATTGCAAAGTTACTTGTTTTCAGAACAGCGTCAGTACTTAATCTCCGACTCAAAAGCGCTCTGAACAAAGTCTGAAACAAATGCCCCTGGAGGCGACAGCCACCGGGAAATTTAGAGTTTAGCATTGACTGTTCAAAACACTTTAAATGGGCGGAAAGCTTTATGAAGAGCTGTCTTGGTGAGAATACGTGTTGAGGAGTCGATGAGTGATATATTTTTATAACGTATAAAGTTGTCAAGCGAGCAAGTGGTTCACCTGATGTTAAGTGATTACCGCCGATTCTGAACAGCGTGCTCGTGTTACTTCACTCACAAGAACTAGAGATCCACTTCCACTCACACCGGTCTTCTGTTTAAGTTAGAAGTTGTTAAGCGAGCAGCTGGAAGCAGTAGTAATTAACTGTGGTAGGGCCACGCAATAGTGATCCTGTTGCTCGAATTGGCAGGTCCGTCCAGGTACATCACAGAAGACCGGCGTAAAGTGGAAGTGTTATACTTCCGCGTTTCGTCTCATGAGTGAGGTACACGAGGCCCACTTTATTACAAGGTGGAAACGTATCTGCAACGCTAAGGGTGTTGCAAATGTCCATGGGTGGCGGTTATCAATTAAAATCACTTAAAACTCACATAAAAAGGTGGTAAAGTAGTTATGTTCGCCCATGATGATCTAACAAATATGTACGTTAAGGATTAGGTTAGGACCCCGGTTA